TTGAAGTTTTTATACAAAGAGTTAAAAATCGGATCAGAAGTAAAGAGTAAGTTAAGATCTGAAACTTTCTGAAGTTCATTTGCCACGTTTGCACAAATGTCTGTAAAAATTTTCAATTAAAATTACTCCATTAAAAATGAAGTGTATCAATCAGTTAGCTTAAAGTTAACATACATGAACTGTGAGAATCAAAACAAACTCAACATTTTAATTTCTTTTCTTCATTTTTTTATTTTTTAATATAACGGTTACTACAAGAGAACAGATATTCAGACCCAAATTTGCGCACAGTTATTTCTCATTTTTTTAGTAAAGATAGATCATAAATAGAGCTTATGTTTGGAAACAATGTGCAAAAGTTGACAATATGAATTTAAAAAAACATTCAAAATATCAAAATATTCCATCTGTTCATGCGATCATTTCAAGAGTGCCTAAAGATCTAGTATTTATGCGATATAGACTTGATACATGACGATTTTTCCCCGTGGCAATCATGCACACTTAGTTTTCTTTTTTTCAAGATGACAAGAGTCGTTCGTAGGAATAGGGTTCGGACGGGTGTTTCTCAACCAAATTTAGATTTTAACTGAATAAAATTTTAAATCACTGCGAAATTTTATTAACAACTTTTAGCAATTTTTTAAAGGCTTTTTTGTAGCTTCTTAAATATCTCATTGATAAAGTACCAAGTAGAATAAAGAAAAGGATTACGATGAGCTAATACATTTGCTGGTAAAAGTGAGATAAGTGAAATCAACGGTATTCTTATTACTCGATTATTTAAAAAACATTTCTGTAAAAGGGAAAACCGAGCTGGATTGTTATTCAAAACTGTAACTGTTGCAATAATGTCGAAATTTAATCCTTAGCCTTTCTTCTTTTAATCGGTGATATATCGTTGGAGAGTGTACATCAGCAAAAGGCGACAAATTTTGCATCTTTAAAAAATGCTCTCTGTTCATTCGAAAAGAGATCTTATCAAGGAACCAACTTCAAACTGTACTTGAGCTCAAGTTGCATATCTCTTGAAGTTATAATAACCCGAAAATTCATATTTCATATCTTGATCACTGACAGTTTCAGTCGCAAAAAGTATATATTAGAGTGTTAGATTAGAGTATTTCAATATTACAGCTTCAAAAATATTCTTAAAAATGAGAAGAGTAAGAAGACAAGGACAAAGAGATATTAAGTAACGAATCTTTAAAAGTAGGTAAACTTTGAAATTTTCCCGCTGCATTAAAGACGACCATTTATCTCTTCAAGTCTCAAAATTTTTAAAAAATTTTTCTTTTCCCACTCAGGTTAAACTATCAAGAATCTAACAAATTTTTTACCAAAATAAGGAAATTTTTCTCTTCTGAAAGAACCGTTTCTAAAGGAAATTATTCTAAAAGGAGAAAATCACTGCGATAAAAAATTTTTTTTTGTTTATTTTCTGGATCTTCTCAGGGCTGATTAAAATGAAAGGGGTTGAACAACTTGGTTGGATGGTTGTGCTCAAAGGGATGGGAACATTCTTTTTCATCAAACATTCGAAATTTTTAAAAAAATGGCTAAAAACAAATCTGTGCGGAAGAAATCATTAAAACTGAAGTCGTGACAAAATTGGTAATTTCTGCTGGATTTTTAGAAACTGATTTTTGGACGATTTATTTAGATTTATTTAAGTTTTGCGAATGTTTTGTGTATGCAATGCGGGGATTTCACTTTTTTTTAATTTCTTTGATTTTTTATTTATTCAAATAAACCAAAATTTTGCCGTTTAGAGCCAACAGATAACTAACTAGGGACTTAAATCTCAACTAAACTAAAGTTCCTGATTTTCAAATTGGAAACGCTGTCGAAAAACTGCAGGATTTTCTATCGGAATCAATAAAATCAATCATCATTACAAGAGTTTTCATTGAAAAATATAAATAACAAGGTGGTTTAGTTACTGCTAAAATAATTTGCTTTACGGTAAAACAATTCTCTTTTTTCTCGGAGAGTGCTGCGCATATGCACAGGGTGATAAGAGAATGATACAACAGCACCTTTCCTTTATTTATTTCACTTACATTTATAAATTCCATTGAATATGTGGTTGAATTTCCAGAAGAATGCTTTGTGCTTTCAATTTCGGAAATTTTAACAGAAAATCTGTGCGAAGAAAAACCAACTTCGTCTCACTTTTTATCTCTCGTTCCAAAAAACACACTTTATTATGTAACAATCTTTTGATCATTTCAATTTTAGTTCTATCCGGAAACAAAGGTTACAACAAAAGCGCAAAATCAACAAAATTAGCTTAACTTTACTAACTTCTTTGTTTAACTTGCTTGCTATTCTCAATCTTAAAGCTATCTGTGCTTCTCTTTCCGCGTTATTGCCTTTTATCACTTTCTTAGATACAGTAAGCCTTGCAATTGTTGAAAATGTTTTTGGACATGGATAGAATTCGAAATCTTCCTCAAGAAAAGCTAAATTTTGAAAGAACATTGTTTATGAACCATCGTGCAATTTAACATGCTACTGAAGCTTTCCTACTCTTTAAATTAACACTGTAACTCCCCATTGCTAATTTCGTAACCTCTAGATGTGATCAATTCAATCTGTTTCAGAATATCTGCGTTTTAGAAAAAAAAAAAATAGATGACAGATGTATAATTCAAGCTACAGTTTTAATTTTTTCATCAACCAGTTCACCAAATATTGTCGTACTGATAATATTCAAATATGTCAATGAGGTTTTCTATCGGCAAAAAAAACTACTTTATTTCTCAGGGAATGTAACGATCCAGATATCTCATGGTGTGAGAATTATATTAGACTGACAACACCAGAATCAGTAGCTTAATCTATAAAGTAAATATCATGCAAAAAAAAAGTTTGGCCTTTGGACTCATTGAAATCATGAAGCTCCTACGTTCTAGCACAAATGCTTACGTAGTCCAAATGTTTAACAAATCCTTAGTGCAAGAACTGATTGGAAAAAAATTGCAGAATAGAGAAGCAACAGATAGAAAAAAAGAATGCTTCCTATGGAAATCATTAACTGATAACGCTGTCTGTCTACGAACTGTCATGAAATTTGAACCGCTTCACGCATTCTTCGGATTATTTGTCGCCATCATATCCATTTTCTGCATATCAGTGTATATAATCATACAAAAGGTACCATTTCCAAAATAATCTATGTAAAAAGATGAAATTCGTCGATGTATACTTATGTGTAAATTATCCATTTAATTTATATTTGTTAGGACTACTGTTGACTATTTACACTTAGTTTTTAGTTAAGAATTTTAGTCCGGTATTTGCTGAGTTTACTACAAATGGTAAATACTGTAAAACTTTTAAATTTTGGAAGAATCCTAACTTGAATGTGATCACAAAAACATGCTTTAACATTTGAGTGATGAACACAGTATTTAACGGGTAATTTATAAAAGTTGTTTACATCTCCACTTTGTCGTATGAACCAATAATGTAATCAGAAGTTTGGGAAGGAATACACTTTTCGTACTTGCAGATAATCATGTCGAATCGTGATCTTATGAAAAATTCCATTTATAAAATCATTCTTTGTTATGGTTTTATTGATATTATTCAACTTTTCGTTCATATCACCATCGGCGCTTTTGCAATAATTGGTACTACAATACACAAATGGGTCGAGAAAGTTGGTTTTTACAAATTTTTACATGTAGCAAATTCCCTCAAAAACGATTTTTTTTTTTGGTCAAGGTTCAATTTATCTTGAATTTTGAAGTGTTGTCACAGAAATTCAATTAGTAACTTTGCTGTTTAATGGTTAAAACAATAAAGTTGTGTAATTATTGTGATAACCAACAGTGCTTTACAAAATTAACCTCGTAAATCAGTGATAATCAAAATATCGAATTCGTGAATTTCTTTGCGATTAGAAGGATTGAAAATTAACGTGCTTGAATTTTTCAGATTTGTGGTTTTGTATTCAGCATTTGCTGGTACAACATTAGTTGCTTGACAGTTCTACTGGCTGTAAATCGATTGGTATTATTATATTTTGGTGTTCGAGCCGAGTTCTTTTTCAATCCGAGAATGACTTTGGTTTCTTAATTAACTTAAGACTCTTTCAATAAATTTTAAACTGGTTAACTGGCATGTGGCTTAAGGAAATGCAGAGCTGTCAGCATTTCTATTTCGCATCACTTCTGATTCCCTAGATATTTCCAGAAACTATCATTACTTTTTGTTCAGGATCAATTTTATGTCGCAGCAATAATAGCGTCTGTAATGAAAATGGTAATAAGCAAAATAAGAAGATACGAAAGTTTTGCTACAGTGCCCATCATATACGCCTATAAGATTGAGATTCCATAATCATCACAACAACAAGTACAGTAATACGACAATGATGTCATTATTCTATTTTAGTTCGTACTACTTTTTACAATTGCTATTCCATCAGTATTTTCGCTAATATGGTTGACGCCTTATGCTACCTATGGATTCGATGTGGTAAACTTGATGTGGACATACAATAGCCCCTCTTTCATGCCCTCCTACGACCGCATAACTACTTTGGTAGCTAGCATACTCTCTACAGTCTGCTCCGTTCTCTTATTAGGACTCGTTTTGAAAAAAGTTAGTCGTTTTCTCATATTATAAGCCTATGCAAGAACATTGCTGTCACAAATTCGAAAAAGGAATCCACTCTCAATACAAATGAGAAAAAGCAAATCATACATTTGTTAATTAACTCGAAATATGTTCTGAAAAGTAGCTGCTAATACATTTAAATAGTTCTATTTTGTCGCAGTTACATATTGACATGAAATGATGCGATTTCGAGAATTTTAAACTAGTTCTATTCTTTTAATTTCTTTGAGAATTTAAAAGCATACTCAAAATTGTCGGACATTTGAAGGAAAATCCAGTCTGTTTAACAATAGATGGACTGATAAAGTGAATTTTACTATAATCATGTCACCAGTAATGCAAGATATGATAAAATATCGTAATAATTTCAGAGTTCTTCAACAGGCAATAAACTGAATGACAGTTCTAGACGTCGCGATACACTATTAACACTACAGGTGATAATCAATGGCAGTTATACCGTTTGTGTGTCCACGTATTTCATGTTCATAAGGCCTTACTATGTGCCCTATACTAAGATATACAACGCAGTTGATATTCTTCTATGTGTATTATGGAATGGGAAAAGTCCTATCATGCATTTATTCTTCAATCGGTGAGCTCTATAACATTCAACAGAAGGAAGATAATCATCTCAAAAAAAATAATAATAATACAAAATTGATGTTTGATGAGTTGCATGTTAACTCGTATCTTTTCCGGTTGGTCATTTTAATTTTATAACAGATAATATATTTGGTTGAAAATATGGCTCTCAATCAATATTATATATTATTTCAGATATATACGTACAAATTTTCTTGAGGATATTCGGAACAGAAAAATCTTCGCCCTGGTCCTGAATGTACTATTGCGCTTACGGCACAAGATATTTTCGCCAGCATTCAAAACATCTGTCATTAGCTTGCCTCTAAATCGAGTAGTACCGTTAAAGGCGGATTGTGTCGACTGTGATCAATGTGGCCAGCGGTTTAAGCAAACTTTTGTCGTTATGGTCACTGCAAAAGCAACCACGAACATGCATCATAACTGACCTTAATGGGAAAATTTAGTGATATTTTATGATAACTGAAAAAAATGTATGGTATAAGAACTTTTATGAAGACAATTCTTATAAGTAAACTGCCTAGATGTGTCGGAAGGAGAGAAATTTTCTGAAGAAATTTTAGATTCTGGAAAAATGGGACATCGGGATGGCTTAATAATTCATGGTAATGGTACTATGCGCCCAATTGGCCCTACTTTTCACAATGTCACAATGTCTAATATAACTTTTTTTTTCGCTTCAGCTGGTAATCATTTTTAGAAGTGAAACATTGAGAGGGAAGGAAATTACCAGTGTTGCTTTATACTAAGTGATTTGCCCATTGGTGCTGCGGCAAGTTTATACTGAAGACTTAATAAAATATATTTTAAACTTTTCGAAATCATTAAAAGTATTTGGCGGCTGTAAATTGTTAAATGCGAAAAAAGTTTTAAAAAGAAAAAAGTCAAATTTCCTTACTCTACATCATGTTTCAAGAGAAAATGATTGATGCAGTGGAGCTCAACAATGATTGCTGAACTTATAATCAATGTAATTTATTCATTAACACTAACAATAATAGCAGCATGTTAATGACAATTGAGATAGTTTCCTGGAATTATTAATATGTAATGCTATTCTATGTTCATGCAGTGATTTAACCTTCCAAAAATTCCGTTGGTAATTTAAAGAGTAGTAGTTATTCTCATATTTTATTGATCTCTAACAATTTCGAAGAAAACTTAGTCCTTTGAAACAAATATACGCAGTATTCCAATGTGAAGTAAAGCTTAACACTTCAATCAGCTTAACACTCTATCAAACATTAATCAAAAACAACAGGGGAGGCAGTACTAATAGTTGAGAGTAAAAGCGATAAAAATCGATAAATAATGGGAATCATTTCAGACATAGGATTTGCAAGTGATACTTCGGAATCTCATCCGGATAACGTGGTGAATTATGTTAACGTCATATTTTACGACTGTTCACAGTTTACTATCATTATTGATGTGAACGTAGTCGCCTTGAGGAAATGAATCACAGAGTAATAGTAAGTGTAGTAATTGACGTTGTCAAAAATATAATCAATTTTGAGCATATTTATTAATAATTACTGGAATGAACCATAAGAACAAGTAAAGAATAATTTATTTTTATCATCAAAGCAAAGAACGTAAATATATTTGATGTGTCCTATGTAGTATTTTTTATGGAATGTAATCGTACCATATATATAGATTCAGAATATTACCTGAAATTTTGCCACATACAATTTGAAATGTGCGAATGATTTCATGCTAACTCTTTTATTTCTCATGCTGATCTTGAATCTTCAAAAACTGTTGTGTTAGTTTCTCGAATGTTTTTAAAAAATGATCAAGAGGAGTCTCAATGGTGTTGAATGGGATTTACAAAAAATGACTTCGTGTCCACTGATCTTCTACGTACTCTTCTTCCCCCCTCAGTAGTTTCATCAGTAGTTATTGTCGGTGTTTCTACAGGTTCTGCTTCTTCTATTGTTTCGTCCAAGATGTGCTGCAACAAATCCAACGACTCTGATTTATCTGTTAAATTCCCAACATTGCTGAATTTCAAATGCTCAAAATCCTTATTTTTCACCTACAACACATATGAGCAATTAATGACTAACCTCTATTTTGATATATTCCATTCGTTTCACATTTGGTATACGATTTACAGCACATTCGGCAACTGGTGGTGGCTTTAGATCGCCCTTTTGCATATCGTGCAGTTTCTTACATATAATTTTGAAATTCGGTCTATTATCTACATTTTTTATCCTAAAATAGTTGGAAATGAGCAACACGAAGTACTAGTAATTGTATAAGATAATCAAGCAGCTTATTTAAATCAGGGATTAAGTGAAGGTGAGGCATCACGATCAAGGAATCAAATGTAGGAACTGATAGCAAAAATGCGGATTTGGAGTATATCACAAGAGGCGAGTACATGAATTTTAATGTGGATAGGACAAAATTTGTTGAAAAATTCAAGAAATTCGCTGAAAAATTGAACCATATAGTTGAAACCAAAGCTTTGATTGATGGTGGTGTTATTGACGGCATTTGTGGCATTCGAATGTGCCGAATATTAGTAGCTATCTTTCTATTTTCATCATTCGGCCATGGCTTCATACCCAAATTGAAAATCTTGAATAATACAGTAAATATGAAATTTAAATGATGTTTTGCAAATATAGCCTAAATGGTAAATATGTGAAGAGATTGTTAATTAAAAAAAATAATTTCATAAAATTTGCAGTCAAAAATATAAACCACAGTGCCAAACCTCATATAAAAGAACTCCAAATGACCATACATCACTCTTCTTCGAGAACTGAGGATTTCTGACGAGGGTTTCTGGTGCCATCCACCTAAAAATGATATTACGGTTAAAGATATCGAGTTTAAATTTTGAAATAGGTGATAGTTTTTCAGTGATTATTCTTTCTTGGAGTGCTTTATCTTTCTGCATAGGATTTTCACTTATAGTAATTGAACAATCCAGTTCAATTCGGCATCAAAGCTGTACCTAATTGGTAACAGCAATAATAAACACTGTTGTATAGTAACAAAGAATTTTTGATCAATTTAACCTCACTGGAATACCGTTCATTTCAATGTCATTCTCTCTATCAAGTGTGTCTGTTTTACTGAGACCGAAATCTGAAATTTTTACTAGACCAGCCATCGAAATAAGACAATTACGCGCAGCAAGATCACGGTGAAGACAGCCTTGCATATGCAAATATCGCATGCCAAGTGCTGCCTGTAAATTTCTTTCTTCTAGAATTTGATAAAGCTTTACTTTAAATCCTTGAGGTTTTTAAAAGTTCCTTAACTTTCGCTAAATTCAAAATTTTTGATGAACGAGTACTCTATATTCTCCTCATTTAGGGAAAAAAGAATTCGAGCAACCTCCAGACAATATTCAATTCGCTCGCCAATGACAATATTTTCCTTTTGTTTTTTGAGATGATTTTCCAAACTACCACCAGGACAGTATTCCATTACAATGGCTATCGGTGGCCGATCACATGCCACTCCATAAAACTGCAACATTCTGCAATTATTGCAGTAAATCTTTTGCTTATTTCTAAAAAAAATATACAAACCTGAACAACGTTTTCATGATTGTAAAAACTCATAATTTTGCCTTCTCTTATCATTGATTGCTTCGCTTCGCGTCTACCACCCTTTTCAGGCTTTATAATCTACAAGCTAATTTATTATTAATTGAAGTTTGAGAAGTGAAAACTAAATATTAAAATGATAAAAGAATCTTTCGTTAAAAATAAACAAGATATGTTGATCTGACCTTGACAGCCACAGGTACAACTTGCTTATTGCCATCTTTATCGCAAGTGAATGTGCCAAGATAGACATCAGCAAAATTTCCTGAACCAAGCGGCAACTGCAAATCTTTGTTGCTGAGAACACAATTTATCATTTGATCTTCACCGAACCAGTTTTCAGAGTCCCATTTCCGTTGCCTCATACTGACGTGATCTTTCAAAGTCCTTATATACCATAATGCATTATAGTGTTTAATAAAGCCTAACATATGTAAACTTGTTCAGTAATTCGTGATGACGGTTCCAAAAGGAAAAATGCTAAGTTTTGAAATATCAAGTAATGATTCATGATATAACCAAATTCAAATAACCGTTTAGACGAGAAACATTGCCGAGTGTCTTCGTTAAAATCGTTTAAATGATACGTACTTTATTTCTGTCGTAATTAATCGCTTCATGTTTAACAAGCCATTTAGGCTTGGGTACACCATCTCCCAAACGAATATCTTTGCCGCTTGCATCTTTTATCTTAATTTTATGCATCTGGAAATAAATTTCGCTGATGAATTAATTCAAAAACTACCAAGAATTGACAGCTTATTCATTTGTGAAATAACCTTGTAATATTGCACCAAATCATAAATTGAAGGAAACTTTCTTCCCCTTCGCAGCACTGATAACTGAAAACAACCATCCTCCGTCCTGTAATATGTCCTTGTGTGACACAAGAGCTGCACAGGAAGACTCTCACAAATAGTGAATGAATAGTTACTGAACCATTTCTGAATATTTGGGAATTCTCGGATGACGGCAAGCAGAACACTATGGACACATGAGAAAGATGTAACTAACACAGCAATAGTTAGATGAATATTTCTTTCACCGACATGAATACTGAGGACAATTTGATGCACTCCTTGATTATCCGTCACGCGCACCAAAAAGTCTCCATTCTTAACCAACAACTTCCTTAAATAGAATTCGTAGCACAAAAGGATGCAACGTATATTTTAAAAAGTGTAAATGTAGAGCGTTTTTTGATTACGCAAACTTTTCTTCTCAGTGATATTGTGCTGTAAGTTGACCGCAACCCATCATCAAATATAATAGTTGCATGCTAATTAGGCTATTGATCATTTGAACTTTTGTACAACAAGATTCATTTGCATCAACAGAATGATCGATTTCTATCGTTTTAAATTTTTTAACACATGAAGCATCACACTGTGTTTCTTCAATTTCTATTTAATCATACATTGGCATCATGTCTATAGATGGTCACAAAACTTCAGTTATACTGCAAAGATTCGTCATAAATTCAAAAAGCCTAACTCGATGTCTTCTCTGGACAGTAAACCATGGTACCAATGTTGTTCTTCCAATTCCTTTCGCTGTTGTTTCCTCGATTCCTTAGCGACATCTCCTCTCTTATCTAAGATTTGCACATCTGAATAATTTACTATGCACTGAAGAAAAGATACCGCACATTTCATCTTGAAAGACAGCCAAGAGAAATAAATAGCTGCAATTTATTGCAGTTGAAAAGGTTTCCTATCTGAATCTCCATTTCCTGATCCATAATATTCCAGCAAACATTAACAGTATGTGGAGCACGTGGACTTCTTTGCCCTACTTACTTTCCAAATAACAACACAGTCAAACGAGTTCTGACTGGAGTATATATAAACTCCCCTCAGGCAGTTAGATAACATACCCGTCATCACGCGGTTGCTTGCTGCAAACAGAAACAATGATAAAGGCCGCTCTTGTGAACTCTCGAAATAAAAATGAATTTATCTCCTGTCATGATAATTATTGATCTCCAAAATTTCCATGTGTACGATGGGTGATTATTTAAAATTTCCAATACAATCCAAACAGTGATTCGGCAATCCGTAAAAGTATCGGATTCGATATAATCATGTGAATATGCTTTCGTGATTAGAATATGTTCCAAAGGAATAGTTGACATGCAAATTGTAGAACAAGCAAATTCCACTAATATTTAATGTGTTTTGAGAATGGCACAAAATTTCCAGGAGATGTCATAGAAAACTCTCGCACTAGAAAATTTGATGCAATTTACAATGAACTTCAAAATGGCAAAAAAATTACTTATCAAAGAATAAAAACTGTAACACTGTCGTATAATGTCATTATCATAATTTTGTAAGTGACGAATTTTATACAACAATCATTTCAGAAATAAAAACAACACTGGAATAAACATCTGCAACAACATATCCATACAATGCTCCAACAAAAATATCGTGATATAATTATCATTTCGATTAGAAGCAAGCTATGTATTGTCCTACCCTCAATTTAAAAACCTTGCATCTAGAACGCCAAAAACTATCATAAAGCTGATGAACAAAAGGTATCAGGTGATGCCTAGCTTCCTCTAATACGACAAACATGTCTTACGAATGCCGTTAAATTTTAAGTAAGCTTCCTGGAATTCAGTCGTGTCTCCGACGTTTGTTTTTATATTTATTCACTCCAGCAACCTCGTGCTTCCTTTTAGGTTGCTCTCGTTTGCTTTTATTGGTTCTACCTTGGCGGTCATTTTGATCAGATTTCTCATTATTTGTATTCTTCCCTCGATTTTCTAAATCGATTGAATCTCTTCTTTTCTCTTTATTACTACGTATTCGTCCTTCCATTTCATGCTTCCTCCGTTCAGTTCTATCACCCTTTCTTTTTTCATTTCGTTGTTCCTCGATGTTCTCACTGCCCATGATGAATTTTTTGTTCTCCGTTTCATTTGGTACCTCCGCTTCATCACTAGTCCTTTTGTCGTCATATTTCCTTCGCATTTCCCTATCACTTTTCCTGTCATAACTTCGTATTTTCATTTTCTCTCTGTTAATTCCATGTTTGTCACCCATTACTTTGCTTACTCTATCATAAAATCCATCTTCCTTACTACTTTCATTCATCCGACCAATATTCTTTGACGAATGGCTTTTTTTCTCGACAATTTCCGGTATTTTTTCCATTTGTTTGTTTTTTTGCAAAATTTTCGTATTATGTCTCGATTTCTCATTATCATCGCTATCATCGGTCTCTGATGAAGCTGAAAAATCCAGTGCAATGAAACTATTTTTTCTCGTTCGAAACGAGTACGGAAGAAGAACTCAACAGTCAGAGATGTCAAGTTCTTCTACTAACCAAAAAATAAATTCTGTGAACTAACATGTACTGGAAGTTGAGTCGCTGCTGCTTTCATCCGAATCTGATTCACTTGATGAACTTTCTGAGGACGATGAAACTTCTTCTCTAGCTTTGGTTGTTTTTCGAGCTTGGTCTAAATGCAGTCTTAGATCGACCCTGGAAGCAGAAGTAACAAAAAAAAGGAAGAAAAACACCTTCCTTTGGAATATGACGGTTATTCGGCCATTAAAAAACTTATCCAACGATTAGAACCGTTTGGTTTATGAAAAAACAATGTTTTCATGATGACTTTCAGCTGAGGAAAAATTATGCACCAAAACATAGAATGGTCATCCCTTCTAGTATTAGAAAAATTATTATTAAAACCAAAGATTTTCTTGAATATGACCACTAAAATAGTGATATTTTCTAAAATTAATATTTACTGACGTGAGGTATCCAAGACCTATCGTAGTAAAGAAATTGATCGAAAAGCGTGTATTATTCGGATTGTCACGAGGGAATATTTTGTCGAAGGAAGACTGCATTGTTCTGGAATATTCATGTACTAAATAAGATCATAAAATTAAATAAGACACATAAAAATCTCCAATCGGGTTGACATACGCTTGATGCATTGCTGTACAAGAAAGTTTGTGAAAAGAAGACAAATATTAGTTTTAAAGAAAATGCGATGTTGAAGTAACCATTTTAGATCTACATATAGAAAATCACGACACAGAATAACGTACGGATCTCGAATTCTCTGTAACAGATTTTCCACGCCTAAAAATTCGGCAAGTTCCTGGAACACTATTTTAATGTATATTCGTCCAGAAGAAGTTGTATCCTCCTCATTCAGTGATATCTGGTCCAAGATCTAAAAATAAAGAAACTTTACTAAGTGATAAGTTTAAAACCAGAAGTCAGTTTATTAACTGATGCTTGGAAGAAAAGTGTAAAACAAGCAGCTTTCTTTCCGCTATTCGAAAAAATGGAAAACAGAAATTTTATCCTATTGTTATGGGACAATATTACCATTTGCGCAAAAACTTACAACCCATGAAATGGCATCCGTTGAAAGAAGATGAGCCACTAAGCAGGCCATATTGCGCAGTTTGTTGTATTCAAATCGATGTATCGTGTTGTAAGTATCGCGAGCAATCCGCTCGAATGCTTCTTGAAATTCCTTGCGAAGTCGGCAAAATCGTTCCGCTAGTAAACCATAAAATTTTTCGTAAGTTCTTTGCTGAGCACAGCAATCCACGATCATATTGCAAAGCTCCACCTAAATAATGAAAAAGTTAGTATGTTCTGTTACGAATTGTTAGCATAACTAAGAAAACAGTATAGAGGCAAAAACCAACATCTTGACCACTTTTCAAATCAATTTTAAGCAATTTATGAGCTGCTTCCTGAAAGTCGAGGGAAGACTGAATTGTCAAGTAAATGTTGCGCCGAAATGCTACCAAGTTCTGCTCTGTGTTATCGATGATCATCGTACTCTGTTTCTCTCCTAAATCAAGATTAACTTGAAATAAAAACAGATTCATTCGAGAAAAATAAACAGTGCGAGCCACCTAATATCTTGAACAAGTGAAAAAAAAAAACTTCGAAACCTTGCAGAGCTTCTGTTATCTCTTCATCTGGTGTCGCGTCGCCCTCCTCTTCATTTGAATCTTCCTCTGGCAAACCAACTGCATCACGTCGAATTTCTTCGTATTCTACCTCATGTTTTTCAAATTCAGGATCGTATTTAAACACGTCTAAAACAGAAAATGAAATAAATTACATGGAATAATAAACGAATTTGAACTGCTGAATTTAAAGTAGGAATTACTGATAAATGTTAATGCTAATAACCAAATATTACTTAATTCATTTTCAGGCATAAGTGGATCCTCCAACGTGATGGTATGTGTTATCTGATCGTCTTCTTCTATCAAGTCTAAATCATCAGTCAATGCAGGATAAGCCTAAAGCAAGAAAAAACGGTAAAGTTGAAGCCCAACGTCAGATATAACAGATGCAT